AGACCTAAGCCTCCGTTTTTGCTACCCCATATTCTTACCACTGGCATGGGGATTAGGTATTTGAAAAGTTTTTGACCCAAAAGGCTTTGGCATTTGTGTAAAAGGCAGGAGAAAGCAGTCCCGAGTCCGGAGTCAATAGACAGAGATATATCTCCTCTGGCCGGATTTTGTTTGCCTGACTTTGTTGCCACTTGCCAACAATGGCAACCTGTCGGGAGTCGGTAGTTTGGAGTCCGGAGTGCAGAGTGTGGAGTTCTGGGTTCCAATCCCTGCCTTCCTTCCTTTGGATTTGCCTACTTGCCTGAATGCCCATTATCGTCATCTCCATCATCGCCATCAGACCCCAGTTTGAGCTCCGGTTTGAGCCCCTAACCTAAACCCCTTTTGCGTTTTTGATCTATGCCCCAAAATCCAATGCCTCACATACAGACAAAAGTTTTGAGGCGCCACAAACTTTTCGGTGGCTCTGGCTCTCGAATTTCCTTTTCCAATCCCCCACCGCTCAGTTGTCATGGCAATTTTGAAAGGAGATATTCAATTTGGCTGGCTGCTCGTCTCCACATAATACTTTCTAAGCAGTTTGAAGTTTTAGGGCCACTTTAAATGGCCACAATTTGTTGTCGGAATGCCGATGGAGCAACTAATTTAATCAAATTAACTCAAGCACTCGGTTCGGTGCATGAAAATGATCAACTCATTAACAAATAAACTTGGTCTTCTAATGGGAAAATGTGTACAAGAACTTAAACCGATTAACCGGTAGAAAGTTTTTGATTTATTCCCTTGCTGACACAATTCAATTTGGCAGTATTATTCTAGCCAAACGCCAACAAAAGGATGAAAAGCGGAACAAGAGGGCTTACGTCAAGGCGGTCTAAGCCTGCGAGTTGGTAAAAATTCAAACAATATGGCCAAAAGCTCATCAAGCGCATCAGTGGGTCTTAGCCCTGGCCAAAGCTGACAGCATCTTAGCCGGAACGAGGAGCCGAAAAGCCGGAACAGGAGCTGTGGCTGCCACCAAATCCATTTTGGCAGCACAGCCGGTTGGCCAGGGGTTTTTCTGAATGCAAGGTAGTGAAATTTACAATTTAAAATGCATGCATAATGAATGTTGTTTGCTGCCAAAAGACTTTCAGTTCATAGGGTGTCGAGGGGAGTGGGCAGGGGAACAGGCGGCAGGGAACACGACCGTGACCCCCAGCTCCCTTGCCAATGGGGTTGGAAGTACCCCCCAGCGTTGGCTACCCCTTGGCCATGAAACCCGAAAAAACACATAACAACAATTCAACTTGACTTCAACTGCAGCTGGAAAAATCCTTAATCTGTGCGAAATTTAACAGAGCACAGTAAAATTGGGAAACGCAATGGGTACACGGAGAAAAAAGTCCTTAAACTCCAGATTTAATTAGGGATTTTGTACCATACCTATTTATCTTCTAATATAGTAATTTGAGATAAAATAAAATAGATATAATGGGGCATTTAAAAATAAATATATACTTATGTCCTTCACACTTAACCATAGGCTTGTGTATCATTTAGCTTATTAAATATAATTGAAAAAAATATAAAAAGGTAAATTTTCATTTAAAAAGACACCAATTTTTCCATCTGTGAAGAGTAAGTGGCATGGGAACACGGAAAATGTTCTGAAGTATTCTAACTTAAGCGTATATAGGATTTCATAGCAAAACAGCCAGTTTATCTTATCTTGAAATAGTTAACGAATGTAACCATGTATCTGTATGCCACATTGCTTATCGATAAAAAATTATATTAAAAAATGAGTTAAAAGCACCACTTGAATTCCATCTGTGCAGAGAAGTATACCAAATTTAAGAGTGGAGAAGGGATAAGAGTTAAATGAAACCATGACTGGCATCTGGATAGCTGCTTCCCTTGGCCTTTGCTTTGTTTTTTGGCTTATTTTGCATTAGAAAAGCACCACCAACCCAGGGGGAGGGGGTTCCACTACCCGCACCTCCTGTGGCTGTGTATGTGCATGCACATATTTGCCCGACTTTGTTTGCCAACACACAGATACTCTCTCACACACACGCACCCAGAAGCACAGCTACGGTTGAAAAATTTGTGCATAATTTTGCTAGGCGAAAATATGCTTTGGTCCTTGAGGAGCAGAAAGCTGGGAAATCGATGACAGGACACATGCCGCACCCCATGCCCGCTGGGAGCCCTCTTTACACTTGCTTTGTTTGCGGATTAAGCAGCCGGTGTGCTGTTGTCCTTGTTGTCCTGCTTGTCCCGATGCCAGGATACCATCCAATGCTATTCCCCACTCTCATCTGCATCCTCAATTGAGCCCGAAATGTTGCGTTCTCTAATTTAATTAGGCGCGTGCCGCAACGGGAAGCTGTTTGCAATCAGGCGTCGCATCCGAACGCCTTTGGTTTTGGCCCAGATTTACATACTATATGTACTGTGTGTAACTCCACACCCACCTCCTACCAGGATATACATATGTATACTTACATCCGCGCAATATTTTCATTACGTGCCCGGTTCCTTGGCAACCGCCGGCGACAATTTTTCCCATATTTTCCGCTCTCTTCCTCACGTAATTCTGCAGGTCGCGATTTTCTTTAATTGTTACACACACGTGACAACGATTTATTTAAGTAGGTTCTTCCTAAAGTATGGGATTTCTGACTTTTCCTACCATAAACCAAACTTAATTACATATAACATATTACGCTTTCCTAGAAAGTTTCACTTTTATTAAATGGTATTCATAAGAATAATATCCTTATTTTGTTATTCTGCTAAGTCCTAACCTTGTTCATATACTATTTTTGCACAATATCGATTGACCTGAACCTGAGCTACCTGAAACTGGTTTGATTAGGTCCTTACTTTCATTATTTTAGTGGGCCATTAAAAGTTGCCTCCCCCAAGTTTCCCGCTAGAAGCTTAACTTTTTTCGATCTAAACTTTTGCGAGTTTATGGCGAACGAGTGATATCGCACCAATTTCCATTAACAGTCAGCTGTTTGCACACACACACACACACATGGCAGAGTGGCGATACGGATCCGCCGTACACCCCAGAGCCCATTAAACACATTCCAAAATTGAAAAGTCATGTTGAACTTTTTTACTCAGCTGCTTTTTTGGCCAGTTTGCATGATTTGTATTTATCTGGGCGAGTGGAAAGCTCTTATCGGGCACAGTTGAGATAGAGGAAAACTTTCAGTTTGATTACTTAAGAATTTGGTCAATGATTTCGAATAAAACCGAATAGTTGTCCGAAGTTCAAGTGGCAGAATGGGGCAAGGATTGTCCAATCCGATCAGATCTACTGGCACACACAAATACACTTTCAGGGTCGTAATAAATTTTAGCCTGCTTGAGTGCCACAAGCACATATACACTCACACACTCACATACGTGAGAAATCCTTGCCACCATGATGTCCTGGCCATTATCCTGCATATAAAGTCGTTCATTTCCTTGTTGTTTTTCGGTCATTCCCGCTTTGATTTGACCCCCGTGGACCCCCCATTGTATTGCATACATAATAAATTTTATGAAACGTAAATTTTTATTGGGACCAATTTTTGTCGCTGCCATAAAAGCGGAGAACATGAAAGGAAAAGCTCGTTTCAATCGAAGTGAATGTTTTATTTATAGCCTCAGTTCAATTCGGAAATTAATTTCGCATTAACTATTTTTGGGTGCCGAATTAGAGGAGCCAAGGCAAACACAAACAGCAATATTAGAAATGCTCACTGGGTAAACATAAACAAGGCCCCCCTCGGAAACAAAAACATTTCAAATGGTTCAAATTAGCAAAACAATACAAATGGAGAGCAAATAGAGAGCAAAGACAAAACACAAATAGAGCCCCGAATTCGAATTTGCTGCTGTAAATGAAAATGAAAATATTGCGAATCAAACTGCAACAAAGCCAAATGAAATGAAAAAGACTTTGAACCGTGCGACCGAAATCGAATGACAAACCCCGGTCCCATCTGCTGATTTGTGATGGATAAATAAAAAATATAAATACCCAAAAACAAACCTACAAAACTATCGTTTACGTAGCCCAAATGTTTTTATGGGTGTGTGCGCACGCTGCGTATACGTAATCCCCATGTGAACTTGGCACTAAATTCATTCATTCGTCATTTAGATTAGAAGGCCTAAACAAATCGAAGGGGAATCACAATGATGGACTGGCCTCTTAAATTTAAAACCAATTGGTTTCGGTAATTGCCTTAAGCCCCACTTTCCGATCCCATACGATTATCGGATTACGCCTGTGAGGAAACAACATTCGGGATAATGGCGAATGCATATTCATAACAAGCAGCAATATTTATTAAAACGATTGCCGTTCGCACTCATTTTAAATTCACCAGCGATGCTGTAAAATGCCTGAATTGTTAATGAAATAATGAATATATATGAGTTTAAAGGCTGAACGACTTAAGCGGCTTTCAGGCGAGTAATTATATTTCAATTACAAGCGAATGAGCTGTATCCCCATATATAGATCTCCTCCGTTGACCTAGATCACCTCGAAAAACCTTGGGGAAAAATGCTCAAAAAGAGAGTGAACTCATCAGCTCACGGCTCATTAGCACGTTTCTTACTCCCAAGGGTGGTTGGAAAAAATAGAGGAATGGGGAGTGCCAGACAACTTGATTGAACTTCAATGAGCTCGAAGATGGCTGCTGCTCGGAGCTCGAGATTAATGCTAATGTGACAACTTAATCGAAAGCCATTTACAAGTCATGTCAAGTGGGGAGCAGGTCTGACTCACCAGCTCCACAGAGCTCGTTATTATGACAGGACCTCGAAGGATGTAGGCTGAAGTCGTTCGTAGGGGATGGGGAATGAATGAAGTGAGCCGCATGACGACGACAAATCCATAAAAAAGCACGTTAAATATTTGCATTAATTCCGGGGCTGATAAGTCCGGGAAGCTAACAGGAAACAGGAGACAGGGGACAGGGGCAGGGACTGCTGTTGACACTTACCCGGCAAACATGATGCGACTGCCATGCCGATAAGGAGCAATAGTTGGCCCATCTCCGTGCTGCTGCTGCTGCTCGTCCTTGTGCTCCTCCTGCTCCTGGGGCCCCCTTGGATCCTGGTGCTCCTGGTGTTCTGGCTGCTCATTTCGCCAAAGTCGTTTGGCTCTTATCACTAAATGCGTTACTTTGTCAACGACCCGAGTTCTCGGGGTGTTTTGTGTGGACGTTAGGTGGGTTGTGAGACTACCAGTTCCAACTCCTGCCTGCTGCCTGCTGACTTTGACTTTTCCTGCCCGACTCACTCGTACTCGCACTCGAATTTCACAGTGTTCACGGCTCAATTTTGTGTATCAGTCAGTTGGGTTGTTTATGACCAGGGCAACCGCAGGCGGCGATCTTGCTGTGCATAAACAATAAAAAATATAGCAAAACGTAGGCCCGAACTGTCATGACAAAAATAATGAAACACGAACTGCCAATTGCTTTGTTGCTCGATTACGGAAAAAGTTCTTCGATATTTGATATTTGCTGCCAAGTTTCGATAGATCGAATGGAGTTGTGTGGAATCCTTTTTTAGGAAGGGAGGGTATATTATTTTACTTTTCGCGCCACGCGTTTTGTTGAGGGTGTCGTGTGACTTAATCAGAAATTTACACAATCCAGAAAGGATGAAAGCACAATGAAAATTTCAATCAAAACTTTATTCTTTTTTCTGTTTCTGTCTGTCTGCTTGATTTTCTTTTTTCAGCTTTTTTTTGCCTTTTAGCGCTCGTTAACTCCAGCGTTTCGCTTTGCGTCTTTGTTTGTTCCGTTTTTTGTCTTTTCGCCACTTTTTGTTTTTCGCAATTTTTTGCTCAATTTTTAATGCAATTTCCACGCTTAACTGCACTTTTTGCCATTTCGCTTGTTATTCCTGTTTCTTCTGATGTTGCTATTTCTGTTTCCCCTTTTGCATTGCATTTATTTACACGAAATACACACGCACACACACAGCTCGAACACGGACACGCACTCACACAGTTGCAGGCGACCGGAAACAGACAGAGATAGAGTGTGTACACGGCAGCGTTCTCTTTCTCGCTCCATGCGCTGCATGCACAAATTCAAATTGCTTTGGCCGCTATTCCAGTTATGGTTATCGCTCGGCCTGCTCAATCCTGCAAATCAGATCGGAGTCCCTCCCAAGGACTCGCAACTGGACTGGGGATCTGGGTCTGGACTCTGTCAGGAGTCGGGCCTTCGCATCTTCTTCATAAAACTGAAAAAAGATAAGCAGAACAACATCATGTTAGTTTGCATTGTTTTCCATATTCTTACCATATAAACTTAGATGGGCATTTTTGTATTAGTGATCGTAAAAATTAAATCTTTTCTTATAAAACTCTTATCCCTTTCGCCATATATCACCTTTTATTTACAAGTCAAAAAATAACTTCAAAATATAGATATATTTGTATCTTTCAATCGAAAAATTACTTTGAACTTTACTTGTAAGTATCCAAAAATTATTTATATTTACTTTTCTGAAATATTAAAGTCTCAAATAAAATCTAACAATTTTACTATATAAACTGTTATATAATTATCAAAAAAAATCGAAGTGCGTATTCTGGTAAAAGGAGGCTTATTTTTAAGCCTTATGCTAAGTATATAAGATGTAGCTGTGCCTCATTTGGTATTTTCTTTGATGATGCCCGGGGCTTTTGCATGAATTATGACCACATTTTGGGGCTTTTCCCCTCTCTACTTCCTCATACAATATAGTCCTGCCCAAGATATGTACTACTTATGGCAAAGTTTTCAGGATGTCATTGTCAGACGGATAATGCGTCACCTACGCAGCTAACCATCTCTTCTTCGCCTCCTAAATGACTGACGTGTGTCTGAGTTCCGTAACCCCGCCCACAACCTCCCAAATGTTCAGGCCTTTGTTCCCGGGGCTGCAGCCATTATTATGCTTTATTTTCCGCTTGACACCTTTGGGCTGCGTTGCGCATTTCCCTTCTGCACTTCTCAGTAGGTTTTCTTTTTTTTTATGAGCGACTCTTTTCCCATTCGCATTCATCGTTTTTCCCCGGTTATTCCGACCTGGCCGAGAGGCTTAGCCGGGGCTAAAGCGACTGCCCCAAGCAGCGGGCTGATAAGGTGGGGAGTTAGGGGCTGGAAGCTGGAAGGGTTGTACAATTTCTTATCAACATGCACGTCGACGTGAGGCAGAGACGTCATGTCGTCGTCTGAATTGAAATTTATTATTCTGCTTTGTCGTGCATGTGTGCGGAGGCTCCCACTTTCCACTTTTCCTACACTTAGGAAAAATTAAATTTTTCAGAATTAATAAAAATAATAATTTCTAAAAATTTAAGATCTCTAAACAAAAATTGTAGGTATATTTACATTATTTTGAGGTCCCACTTTCACCCTTTATACACTCAGGAAATGGTTTCCTTACTTTAAGCTATAACAAATTTAAGTGATATACCCTAACAAAAGTTAGGAACCTTAAGGAAATTATTTTCTTTAAATGTATTTAAGATTTTCTCTAAGTGCACTCTTCCCACATTCAAACCCCCTTTGGCACACTCCTCTTAAGCAGTTTTGTGAGTGCCTGGCACTTTTTTGAGGTGGCCACGTCTGTGTGTGCCCCCTCGAAAGTCCCCCATTTCAAGCATTTAATATTTTTCTTTTCTCCCGACTTTTATGTATTTTTCTTTTTTTCTTACTCAGCCATCCCCAGTCGGAGCTCTCTGCTTTTACTTTTGTTAATTGCTTTTCATCTGGGGTAAGCCGGCAAAATGTCTGGGGGCCACCTTTGATGTGCGACCTTTCACTGAGTTTTAGCTTGTTGTTGGTGCTTTGGGGTCTCGCACTTAGGGATATTGTTCACATGTCTCAATTATCCTTTTGATTTCGTACACATGAAAGCGTTCCCCGAAGTTTTGCGCTTTTGTTGGTCCAATTTCAAAGTAATGCGTGACCAACTGGGAGAGAGCTCTTATAGCAGGCCAGTTATTATTAAAACCGAGACTAACCGATTTGTTCGTATATCTATCTCATTTGTAGCCCTCCAATTTCGTCTCCCCAAAGCAGGCAATAAAATCTACATAATTTAAACATTTCCATACGGAATTATGTGAGCCGTAAATCGGATCCTCCAGAAGAAACAAATGGTCACAGCCGTGTCCAGCTTTTTCTGCCCAGCGGCACACAAAAAATGGGATGAAATTGTATTTAGTTTATTTTGCTGTTTCTGCTGACACTTGGCGTTTTTGTAGCCGTGCACGTTGGAGTAAAAAGTTAAGTAAAAAAGGCCCGGACAAAACGAATGAAAGAAAGGCTGAGTTGGAAATTATGCAAAGATTATGTGCGCAGGAAAAACGGGAGTAGGGGGATCCTGATTGCGGGATCCTGGGATCCCGGATAGAACGAGCAAGTTAACTTGTCACCGTGGTCACGACTGCTGGGGATGTGAGACGAGGTGTCCTGGACCAGGAAAACCAGAAGGAACTCGCAGTCCTGGAAGCAGGACCAACTTAAGTCGAGTGACATGTAAATCTAGCCTCAGGTTGCGGCCACGGCAGCTGCTGCTCCGCCTGAAAAAGAGTTGCGGGCAAAAAACAGCGCCGAGATGATGATGATAATGCGGTCGTTCCAGATCCAGAACCACTCCCAATCTTCATCTCCATCTCCCCATCCTGGCAATCTCACCGCCCATTACCAACCACCATGCCCAGGAGCCACGTTTTCCTTTCTGAAATCAGTTAAATGAGTTTGTTTACATGTTACGCCGCTGTGGCTTTTTTTTCCTGCCAACGACTTTCAACCAAGGGCGGTAAAACGAAATAATAACATGAAAAGTTTACAGAACGAAGGAGCAAGTACCCTTGAAAAGTAATTTTAAGTAAATGTAATATTTGATATCTTCTCTACATTTGCTTAAATTTAATTACCAAAATTCTGAAGTAATTTAAATATTTTGCAGTTAAACTTAGAATGACTCAACTCCATTTCATGTTCTTCAAGTTCCTTTAAAAGTTTCTTCGATACCAAACCTAGTCATCAATACGTTTTCATTATTTTTGAATTAGGTGTATTATTTCTGGCTTAAGACACCCGAAACTTGATGACTGCAATTACATATCCCTGGAAGATGAAGAATTATACCCTCTGCAAGGGTATGTAAAACGAAAATACTTAAAATGTATGCAAAGTGGCGGCTTGCAGGACATTCAGAGGGGGGTTTGGACGCCTATAAAGGACCCAGGAAGCGACGCGACATTGTCTGGACGCCGTTTTTCTGCGGAAATGGATGTAGGGGAAAAGTCCCCATACAATTTACTTTGGTAACTCGATATACGAAGTCTGAGTCGCAGGCCTAAAAGTATGCAGCATATAATTTGCGTTTGTTTGCCGTTGCTGCTTTATGTAATTTGCATGTAAACATGTGTTTTGCGTTCATGTGAGAGTGTTTGTGTTGGCCTTCTGGCAACAAACACACACACTCAAACACCCCTGAAAAAATTACGCCCAACATCAAATGATTTTGTTTAACATATTTTGTTATTAAGTGTGGAAATGTGCATATTTCGGTCCGCGGAATAATCCCCTTTGCAGTTTCTGGGAAGGGGGTATAACCCCCCTTTCATAAAACCCTTTTAGGACTCCGATTCCCCCTCCCCGTTTGCTGTTCGTGCCTGCAGTAAATTTCCGTTTGCCATCTTTCAGGACGAGGCAGGCAGACCTGGCATACTTCACTTGAACTTTGTGTAGCGTGAACTTCTTAAATTATTGGCCTAGCCTCTCTATATAAACTCCAGACCGGCGTTGCCGCAAACGCAAACGCCCCCAAAGTTCAGTTCCGCCAAAGGGCTGGCGAATTATGTTTTGCCAAGTTCCTAACTTTGCTTGCGGCCCGATTCGACCTGCTGCCTTTTGACAATTGACAGTTCGATGGCTCGATGAAGTTTTGCCAATTAGCTTGGGCTCAACGCTGTTTCTTGGCTGCATATCACGTCCGGCTATTTGCTAGCTTTTCCTTAGTTCCGCATTGTTTTCTAGCCACCACAACAACTTGGTAAGGAGACGCACATCCATAGAAAAAAAAAACAACCATAAAGCACACACTCACATACACACGGTTGATAGATAAATAGAAGTAGGACGGACATTCACTTGCACTGGGCCATAACAATTTCTTTGGCCTCCGATACAGATCCACAACCATGGCTATATCCACATCCAGATCCAACTTCAGACGTGGCCGCACTTCCTAATGCCGCTTGCGACGCTCTGATGCAGCCCAATCAACGTTGCTGCAACATTATTGTTGTAAGCCGAAGAAGATCCCAGTCCCCTCCATAAATCTACACTGGAAAAAACTATAGGTTCATATAACATTCATGCACCTAAGGGCTGATTTCGCAATGCCATTTTAAAGTTCTAGTTTGTTCTTTAAGAAAAAAAATTTTAACTGCAGGTCAACTTGTTCGGAAAAATCAACATGATTTCTCAATGCAACGTTATTTTTACAACGATAGGTCTTAACGATAGTCTTAAACAATTTGGAGTATGTTATATGGAAAAACCACCTTTTCCAGAAACAGCTATTTAACCGAATGACAAAAGATAACCTGACATTGAGAAATCGGCACTAAAAGTTGTAATTTTAGTGTACATGCTTGGATATTTAAGAACCCTTAGTATAAGGTAATCCAATATAAGACTATAAATTTTTTCTAATACATGAATCTCTCTTGAACTCCAAACTGTCAGTCAGAGGACATTATCTAATACTTATTTATTTCCTATCTAGTGTATTCCCTCAGTGCAGCATTTCTTGCAAGGGTAGCTGTGCTTAAGTCGTTCTGCCATTTCCATTGCTTTGGCTACGAGCATTTCAATTGCTTTAGCTGCGGTAGTAAATACAAAGTGTTAAATGCCCGGGGCTTACGGGCGGGAGCAGGCATAAGCTAAGCAAATACTACTACTCTGTACACCCCATATTAAAACTCAAATTCAAACTGCAACTTCAGCTCCGTCTGCTCCCAATCCCGATCCCGATCCCAATCCCATTCCGACTACAACTTGAAGTTAAGTCCAAGTCGCCGCGCCCGAACAAAGGCGTCGTATTCATTTCTTATTTAAAACTACCGCTTGTTGGATGGTTCACCCAACAGCTGGATAGATGGATGGATGGATGGCTGGGTGGTTGGATGGATAAATGGATGGATGGATACCAGGCCATTAGATCCATGACTTGGC